ATATCATTAGCCAATAGACTTTTTCCCCAGCGGTAACCATGATGAACACCCCAGTGTAAACACTGCCTTTGTGATGTAGATGAAGATCATGTCCCCAAAAAGAATGTTTTGGTTTTGACACTGGTGAGTGAATTCAGAGGAAATGTAAGTACTTTGAAAGAGACAAAAATGGCAGACCTTTCCAAACTGTCTAGATGATGCCAGAACTCCAGGTTCTTGGGCCTGGAAGGGACACAAGAGCCCAGGCCGGGGTCCCTTTCCTACTTTTTCACTGGGTTTCTACCTTCTCTAGAGCCAATTTTCCTTATGATCTGCATGAGAGGAAACCTTCTCCCCATAGGCTGTTTGGACTACCTGGAATACGCGTGGATCCTGCACCCACATCTTACCACATCTTCAGAGTTGCTGCCAGAGACCAGATGGCCTGGCATGAGATCTGAGACTCGGTACCCTTTGCTGATTGCAGACATTAGCCCCTTATCCCTGAGGAGTCACCAAGGGTGAGGAGCTGGGAAGCTTCTCCTTGTCCACACACCAGTGGACAACAAGAGAGGAAGTCAGGTGACAAGGGTCTGGAGGGACTTACCACATAGGTCAGTGCCAAGGACATATGGGCAGATTGGGCAGGGCTATCTATGCCAGAGAGAGATGTGAGAGCCCTTAAAAGACTTTTGTCCTATTCTGCCAATGTGATCTGTTGCCCCTGCACCACCCCCAACAACCCTTACCACCAGAAAACCCCCACCCTAACTGCTCTCCATTTACCAGACACCCATCTATTCAACTCCAATTTCAAAACAAATGTCAAATGCTTTGTAAAGATCATCAATCACACTTATATGTTCTGACTACATCATCACCATAAAATCTAAATCAAGACTAATTAAGTACAAACTAATGCTTTTCAAATGTATTATGTACCCAAATCAACTGGAGAACTTGGTCAAATACAGGTTTGGATTTAACAGGTCTGTGATTCTACATATCCCTGGGTGATATTGACACTGGAGGCCTATGGACCACTTTGAGTGGTGAGGTTACAGCTTTTGAGTTCCTTTAAAGGCAAGTGGAACATCTTCTGTATCTACTACCAGTTGCCAGCACAGCTCTGGCTAATGGCAGGTGACTCGCACATCTTTGCTGAGCTGCAGCGGAAGGGCCAAGGATGCTGGGACATTCCTTTTTTAAAGAAAATATATTACTGAACAGCATCAGTGTTCTTACAGCTGGGATGGCAGAAAGACAGACTGGGGGCGGGACTGGCTCCACAAGAGCAAGGGTAAGTTTTAAGCAAAATCGTCACAGTTGCTTTACAGATCCAGAAACCCTACCGCATTACTTTATGTTCCAAAGGGACTGGCTGATAGTAGACTTATTGGTCAACATTGAAGGATGCTTTTCCAGTGGCTGAATACTCATGACTGCTTAGAAGAACCCCTGTCCCCTATACCCACACACACTTTCCTCCTCCTCAAACCCTGGGTCAAGGTGACGACCATTCAATATAACTTGTAGAAGGCCACTGGTTTGGACTGAGCTCATACACCAGGCCCAACAGACCGAACCAAAATGAAGTCAACCCATAATGAAGTTCCATGCCATCAACTTGTCTGACATCCCAAGAGATCTGGAGAGATAATTGCCAAAGGCTGCCAGTTTAAGCCAACATGATAATGAATGGCTTTCTCTCTGAAGTTCACAAAGAAAATGACTAGGCAATAACTAAGCCCGTTTTTGTTCATTTCTGCTGCCCTTGGCCCCTTTGTCTGCTCCGTTCACTGGCACACTCACTCTACTTTATAGAACGAGATGTTCCCCAATTCTAGACTCACAAAAGCTGACTGAGAGATTTAAATTCTTTTGAACTTTGTCCTTTTGATTGCAGGGATAACTTAAATAGTCCCGTTTGTGTCTTTCCACACTGCCTTGGAACATAAATAAGTGGATGGTCCCATAGAAGGATTAGAGCAGATGAAGGAACAGCTTGACAAGTTGTCTCTTCCGTGAAAAGAGCTCACTTCTGGTGTACAAAATTTATTTTCTCCTGAATAAAGCGCTTCTGCTTAGGCAACATTAGACGAAGTCAGATACGTTCTTGCCTTTCTGGTATCAGTGTTTCTGGACCGCGGTTAGCCAGCTTCCCTCACGTCAGTCAGTTTCCATATGCATGTATCTTTTTTGTCTTTCTAACTGTGCTATGAGGTACTTTATGGTAGAGGCCATATGCTCACACCTAATGATTTACTTACATCCTTCATGAGCATCTCCAGACTTAGATTAGCTTCTAAAGAGCCCAAGAGGATAAACCACACACAGTGTCTTAAGGTGAGCCTTGAAGGACAAATGAGGAAGAGGAGCTTCCCAGATGCAGAATGAATTAGGGACAGAAATAAACAAGCTGACCTAGACCTTCAGACACCCATGAAAAGGGACCGGCAATGAGACCTAGCCAAAGCACCAGGTGCCTTGAAGGTTATTCAAGTGCTGATCTTACCTGTGAAGCCATGGGATTCCACTGGAGACTCCAGATCAGCCGCTGCCATGATTAGCTTTCTTTCCTCAATGCTCACCTGGCTGCAGTAGAGGTGAATAAAAGAGGCTTTGAATCTGATTGAGAGATGTTTTAGTAATACAGAGTTGTTGATGCCTAAACAAGGGAAGTCATTAAGGATGAAGTAGAAGAAACTGGCCAGAAAGTTATTTGGAAAGGAAAACATGTTGACTAATAGGTTGTGAGGAGCTGGGCAAGATGGCCAGGAAACCCAGCACATAGGTATCTAAAACAGGTCCATCGAGAGTTCAAGGTCAGTCTGGGCTGAGCATCAAGACTGAAGTGGAAAAAGAAAACATTAAAAAAAAGTGACTAGCAAGTTGCCAGCACTTTCCTCAAATCAATATTGGTTGAAGTGATCCTATTCAAGCAACATAAGGCATTGAATTCCTGGGCCAGGCCTGTAGCTCAGCAGTAGAGCACTTGCTGAGCATGTGGTGAGCAATGCGCTGAGGAGTGGGGAGGAGGAAAATCCCGTTTATCGTAGTTCTTTCTCCAGTGAATTATGTATGGATGAGTGAAAGGAAAGAGAGAGAGAGAAAAAGCTTACACCCTAGAACAAATATTTTGAGGGAGAGGTTATCTCTCTCTTTCTCTAAAATAAATTTATTAGATATTAATTGTTGCTTATATTTTGATATTAAATTATTGAAAATTAGGACACTGGAAATTCAACAAGATAACATGAATATCAATACAAAATTATAGTTTTCATATAAGCAATAATTACCAAATAGAACATTCTCTCTCTCTGTCTCTCTGTCTCTCTCTCTGTCTCTCTCTCTGTCTCTCTCTCTGTCTCTCTCTCTGTCTCTGTCTCTGTCTCTCTCTCTCTCTCTCTCTCTCTCTCTCTCTCTCTCTCTCTTTCTCTCTCTCTCTCTCTCCAGGCTTTCTCTGTGTAGCCTTGTCTCTCCTGGAACTTACAGGGATTCACCTGGCTCTACCTCCTGAGTGTTGGGATTAAAGACCTGCGCCACGTTCGCCTGGCTAAAATAGAACATTCTTAATAGCAACAAAATACAATTTATCAACAGATAAACCCAAAGGGAAAAATCTGTGGGATCTTTGTGGAAAAAAAAAAAAAACCTTGAGACACACCCTGTATTTGGTTGACTGTCATGAAGGGTAACACGACCACCAAATTCTAAATAAGTGTTAACTTTATGAGAGAAAATATTTCATGGAAAATTCACATCAAGTTATTAACTTAAAGGGTTTCATGCTAGGCAAGCACTATGCCCACTGAGCGGCAACCCAGCCCTTAACAGGGAATCTCAAGGGACATATACTGTACGGTGTGTTTTCTCTGAGTTCTTTACAGTCTGTGAGTTTAGAGATGTCATGATCAGAAGTTTGTGTCCCTTCAAACGCATGCGTTGCAAGAGTGAGCCTGTCAGCAGCCTGTGACAGAAGAGGAAGGACCCGTGAGGTTCCAGCCCTCCCTGAAGATATTTATGGGTTATAGGTTAATGGCAGAGGGAGAGAGACCTTTTCTTCAATGTTATAGCCACTGAAAGGTGCTCATGCTCCTGTGAAGCAATTCCCACACGCCATAAACAATCCTAATGAAACTCACTGGACCACACACACAGAAAGAGGTGAAAGAAAAAATGAGGCTAGCTGGGGAAAGGGAGATTGGCCAAGTGAGAGGAAGCCGGAAGAGAGCAATGGGGGTTAACGTTATTGAAATGGTAGATGTATGAAGATGTTATAATGAAACCCATTACTGTGTAAAATTATTCTGTGCTAATAAATGATTTTTAAATTCATATGTTAATACAAGATTAAGAAATGAGGCCTCTCAGGAGGTAATTGGGTCATGAGGGCAAAACCTTTATAAATGGTATAGGCACCCCCAATTAAAGAGACCCTGGAGAGCAGGCTTGATGCTTGGAAAATGCGAGAACACAGTAAGAAAGTGCTGTTTGTGGGGAAGCATGCCTCACCAGATATTGACTCTTCTAGCATCTTCGTTTTGAACATCCAGCCTCCAGAAATGAGATACTTTCTGTTGTGTATAAGCCACGCGGTCTAATCATTGGTATTACTCACAGTATTTTGCATCCTGAATGGACCAAGACAGGAAGAAAGTGAGGAAGGTAGTGAAGGGACCAAGGGACAGGTGGACAGAAAGACAGAAGGCCCAGGTCATAGGAGGTGAGAGCAGCTGATACCCAAGCACGGTGCTGGAGACCTGCTGACTTCATTGTTTGTCCGTGGTTAACCAGTTATCAGTGAACCAGAGCAGAAGACCATAACGGAAACCATGACACCCACCCCACCCAGAGTTTGGGTGTTCTCCAAACCCATTTCCCTCCTTCAAGTGGATGCAGTGGGATGGGTAGAGGTTATAAGTAACCTCCAGGAGGCTCCCTCCACGTCCTAGAGCCCTGAGCAAACTGGCCATCTGCTTTCGCTTCTGCCTTTGATCACCCCTGCCTTGGAATCCATGGGAGGGTTTGAGGGCCATCTGTACCCTGGCCTGTCCTTATTCCTCTATGGACTTTATCATGCAGGACTTCTCTCCAGGGCTGTGACATGCAACTCCCCTGTCCAATACCCACCGCGCCCTCCTTGGAGCAAAGGAAGATGGGCGAGGTTACGGCAAATGTATTATATTGGCTTTCTGAAGATAGTGAGTTCTTGCATTTTAGTAGCCCAAGAGTTGAACAGCATTCATTGGCAGCTGGTACTCATCAGCAAGATGTATCACCAGAGAAACTTCATGTACCGCAAACAGTGGCAGCACCTCACTCTCTACATGTCCTTCTTCCTGAGTGGGTGTGTAGACGTGGTCAGCCAGAACCTGCTGCCCACGAGGTGCGTAGTGCTGGAGCAAGGTGCCCAAGCACTGAGCATGTGTCTCCTTTTGCCCCTGATGGTGTCTCACATGCAGGACGTAGAAGGAGTGGAGCTGCAGACCCACGCGCTGCTCGTCCAGGCCCTGTTTCTGCTGACCCTCGTGGTGACGGCAGAGCTGTGGGCTCCCGATGTGCTGCTGATCTGGATGCTGAAGGCCTTTCTGTACCTCGTCACGGGCTCCTGGCTGATGCAGATAGGCGTCATGCTCTACAAACCAGTCTCTGGCTACAAATGGATGGACGACGACAAAAATGACATAGCGTTTGCCACCACTTTCTTCTGCTGGCACGTGGCCTTCAGTGCCTTCGTGATGATCTGGGTCTACAGCGTCTCCGTTGTGTGGTATTGTTACCTCGTGGCGGATGCCTGAACCTGGCCCGTGCCCAAGGGGTTTCCTGTGGCCTGCGTGCTTGCCATGAGAAGTGGTGTGAGAAGCAAGCTGCCGGAAAGGAGACTCAGACATCCTTCAGAGGCGCCCCACCTCACGACAGCAGACTGTGGTGGGGTGGGTATACCTTCTCTCCTCTCTGGCTTCTCTGCATCTAATTGGCTGAAGGGTGCAAAGAAAGATGAATGGAACAAGAAAGGCACGCTCTGACCCTCACTCTCAGTTCCCTGCACTCCTCTCCCATTCCCACGGCCAACCACAGCAGCCGCTTGCCCTGCGCCTCTTTGCACCCCTCACTCTGCACCCCTCCTCACCCTGCACCCCTCACCCTGCACCCCTCACCCCCGTCCATGAGAACATAACAAATTTATGAAATCCAGTCTTTGGAACTTTCAATAAACATCTTTTACTTAATCACATTGAGCCCATCCTAACTCAGCCATCATAATAACCATCTCCTCCTCGTTTCTTGACCTGGACTTCTGGGATACTCATTCCAGATCCAGGCTGTCGACTTGGCTATGTGAAGTTCAGAACTGGTCCTGGTTCTGCCCTCTCACCGCTCTGGTTCATCTGACTGGAAGTCGGACCCTTGTGAACAGCGGCTTCCTCGGCAGGGTCTGGTAGGATGCAGTAGCCCCCACACATGGGAGAAGGTCACAGGGGCCTCCCCAAGCATGGTCGGGGTCTCCTCCTCAGCATCTCCCCCCATTGCCCTGGACCTATCTCCATCAGTTTCCAAATAGAAGACTTGCTGGGCCCCAGCCCTCTCTGGTTTCCATGGATAATAAAGTCTAATGCCTGGCAACAATCCTGTTGGTGAATGTCATTCAAAGGGCTAAGGCAGCTAAGTGCTGCCTTCCATAATCCTACAGCTGGGTGCCGGGGGAGTGAAATTCGAGCTTAGCTAAAGCTCTAGGGAGCTACAGTATGAAGAATGTGCCTCACTCCAGATGGAGAGTAAAAGGTCTAAGATAGGACAAAGTGAGCTTGGAGCAAGGCATGCTCCAAGTCATCCTCCTTATTATTTATTTCTTATTCTAGTTTCTAGGAGAACTAGATGTGCCCTCTATTTCTGACCCATTCTTTCTTGTTAATTTTCTTGTTTGGAAGTCAAGGTGTGTTAAGAGTAAGTAAGTTGTTATCAGGTGGTCAGGAGCCCTCCTCCTCCTGTTTGGGGAACTCATGAGAAGTCTGAGCCATTGCCAAGAGGAGAAGTGACTTCCAGAACCACTTAGACGTCTAGCACGTGGCCAACAGTCTGCAGTGGCTTTTCCTGCGTTGGTAGGATCATTAGGCTGAAATGTCCCTCTCCGCTGGAGGGGAGGGGCCCTGGTGTGGAAGGAAGGTACGCCTCAGGAAACTCAGTTGCCATACTTCCGCCTAGTCCGGGGGGCATTGGGACATCACAGCATCCTAAAAAGGTTCTGCTTTTTCCCAACTCTCACAGCCAAGTCCTAGCCCCTTGTTTCTCCTCCACACCGTGGATGTCCTTTCAAGCTTCGGTTCAGTCTTTGAGCCTTGTGCCTCCTCTGGTGTCTTGAGGTTAGGGTGCTGGGTTCAGAACCCACTTTTCTTCCACACATTTTCTTATGGATGTAGCACAACTCCTGTTTCTGCCCACTCAGACCTTGCCCCTTTTATTAGCATATGTTGGAGCCAGACATGGTGGTACATCCTTGTCATTCCAGCACTGAGGAGGCAGAGGCAGGATGTTTCCATGGTCAAGGGCATCCTGGACTACACGGCTGGGCATGGTGGTACACACCTGTAATCTTAGCACTGGGGAGTGAATGAAAGAGAATCAGGAGATCAAGAGCAACCTGGACTACACGAAACACACCCCCAAAGCAACCACAAAGCAAGTGATAGTTTGAGCTATACAGTGAGCCCTATTTTTAAAATGGGGGGAGGGTGCTAAGGGTGTAGCTCAGTGTTTTAGAGTACTTGCCCAGTGTGTGCATGGCCCTGGGTTCAAACTCTAGTACTACACAAAAGCATTTTGGATTTTTTTCATTTAAAATTAACCCTTTTCACTATAATTGTAATTTGATCTCATCGCATGTGCGCGCACACACACACACACACGAGAGAGAGAGAGAGAGAGAGAGAGAGAGAGAGAGAGAGAGAGAGATCTCATGAACTGAATCCTGTGCTTACTCATGTCTCAGAGATATTCTAAGGTGGTGTCTTTGACTAAACAGGGGGAAAGTCTTAACGTGAGAGTTGAGAGGTGAGGCTTAAATATTAGTGTTTCAAATACCACCTCTGCTAAGATGAACAAGACACCAAAACCAGTCGGTGCTTGGGTTTGTCCAACACTGAACACTTTGACGTTCTGATAAATACTGACAAGCTCATCTCTTGTGGCAGATCGCTGCTTCCAGATACTACCGTGTCTCTTCACACATAACTTCTAAGTAAAGGAATAAATGTCAAAACCACAAAGAATTGTAGTTGGAGCCTGACAGAGTGGTGGGAGAAATAGCTTGGCTTGCTATTTGGAAGACAAGGATCTTTATTTATTTTGTTTTTATTATTATTTTATTATATTATTTTTAATTATTATTTTAGTTATGTCTAAATGTGTGCATGGAAATGCAGGTGCGTGAGGAGATTGGAGGCCTCAGAGCTCCTGGAGTTATGAGTCACCTGATAGAGGTGCTGGGTACTGAACTTGGGTCCTTTGGAAGAACACTAAGTGCCCTTAACCATTGAACCATCTCTCCACTCCTGACAGGGAACTTTCTGTACTTCTCTTGTCACAGTCGCTAAGAGCATTAATGAATCCTAATCAACGCTGAAAGCAAAACTCTACAGTTTTCAAGATAATGGTGTAGTGTTTCTCACCTTCCACCAGAGGGCACCATCTTCACGTGAGCTGGAAGGGCACTTGCTCTCTCCACTTGGTATTGAACTACCTAGCAGTGAGAGCAGGGCTGTCTCTGACTCTTTTGCCTACTCTGAGATCCTTTTCCTCCCACTGGGTTGCTTTGCCCAGCCTTAATATGAGAAGATGTGCATAGTTTTATTATAACTTGACATGCCATGTTTGGGTGATATCCCGGAAAGGCCTGCCCTTCCTTGAAGGGAAAAGAGGAGGAGGAGATCTGCTGGGGGTGGGAGGGGGGCACTGCTGATGCAATATATGAGAGAAGAATAAATAAAATAAATAAATAGATAAATAAATAAGTAGATAGATAAACAAATAAGGGACAGGAAGATGCCAGGAAAAACACATAATCAAATGTGAAAACATGCAGAAACATGGGGTTGGTCTGTTTCCTGATAGAAGTGTGGACACAAACTGTCGGGCCTGCCGACAGTCAGCTGGGTAGCTGGGTTAGAGGCACACGGATTGTAGAGACAACGAAGAAGACAGAAAAGAGTCGAGAGGTCTGCCGGTCAATGCCGGACAGCCCCGAGTTTATTTCACACCCAGCTTATATACAGTTTTGAAGGACAGTGGTAGGACAGTGCACAGCGCAGGCATTCAACCACTGTCTATCCTGCCTGCATCAAGGAGCAGGCAGTTTCTATTTCTATCTCAATGTACCTCCGGCTGGCATCAGCAGCCTGCATCTAGCTGGATAGTGTGTTCCTTCCTATGGGCTAATCAGGACTTTCTCACAGCCCTGGAGCAGGCAAGCTTGAATGAACTCTATTGATTCAGAATAGACTTGATTCAAACTGGGAAACTGAGTCTGTTGTGGGCTCCCACAACAAATAAGCACAGAATTAAATTGATAAAATCTTGTGTGTGTGTGTGTGTGTGTGTGTGTGTGTGTGTGTGTGTGTGTGTGAAACCTCTTGGTTATTTAGTCTCTGAAAGTCCCTTCTAATTCGTGGAAAAAATAATTGGATGGGTTTTCAAGGAACTGTTTCATGCAATGGATGCCAGAGGGAATCAAACATCTCCTCACTTAGCTCAAGGAGGAAGGGTTTGGACAAAGACATCTATCCTAGACTCAGCAACCACTGGCACAACCTAGAGCATATATTAGAGAGGAGACGCCAAGGATGGTGCCATTAGCAATGAGTACTCAGTGGTAATAAGCCAGCAGTGGTAGCAGAGCCGGGGAGCATGCTGGGAAAACATGCAGTTGTTGAGAACTGGCCCTGATTTCAATGGAAAGGTGGAGCAAACTGACAAAAACAGAATCACATGATTATAGTAAGAAGCAGCTATGCAGTGTAAACATGAGAATGATCCAACCAAGTATTATTTTAGTGATGACTGATCATGGAATTTCCTTGGGAGGGTGGGAATGGCGTAAGTGGTCCAATAAAATCATTATGGAGAATATAACTCTGTGATGGAAGGTATTTTTGACTGTTCTTTTCATTGGTGCATCCAAAACATGTTGGAAAGTTTCTGTCAGATGGAGTGCTCAATGAATACATGTTGAGTGGGTGAGCCGACAGACAAAAGGCTAACATGAGCCTCCCTAGAAGAGGGCAAGAATCAGGACCTTCATCCGGTTTGCAGACTTAACTCAGACTTTAAAGCAAAATATTTTTCCCTTTTGCAAGACTTGCAGTATTTTGTCAAGCATTTGTTATGAATTTTCTTCCTAGTATTTGTTGAGGACCTACTGTCATTTCCAGGATAGGTGTGCACAGGGGTAAAGGAGAAGGCCGGAATTTGGGAAATCATTGTGTGTAGGACCCGGTACAAACCACACCTAGTAAATAGCGGAGCTGAGATGTGAACTCAGCTTTTTATTTATAAACCACTATTTCCCCTATTTGCCTGATGGCAATAATCATCCAGGGTACTTGTAAATAATATGGACTCCTGGGTCTCATCCCAACCCTTAGCATCAAAATTACCATGGAAAGATCCTGGTGATGGCAAATGAGAGCAGGCAGGAGAAAGGGGATATGTAGAGCAGGGATCCTGAAGCAACAGTTCGAGGAAAGTCCTTGCTGGAAGCCAGGATTGCAGAACAGGGCTCTGGTCCCACAGTCCTTGAGATCTCCTCCCCGAAATAAGCATTTCTGCCCAGAGGCTAATGTGGGAGCAGGACTGAACCCCAGCTTATACACCAACCCTTCTGATGAACAGCTTTAGAATTGGGTCTTCATGGAGAAAATGGATTATATTCATTCCCTAATTTCAACCCTGTAGCTGAAAGTTTTCCTGTGTCCTGCCTGGCCCACGGTCC